ATTAATCAAGGAGAAATATTTTTCACAAAGGATCATTACATTGTGTTTAATACAATCATATTTCTCCTCTACTTCATTTATCTAATTAGCAGACATTTTATGTAGCGTCGAAAATATCTACTTTCTTACTAAAATGACTGTCGTTTAATATTTAAACCACTTAATTTGTGTGCAAACCTTCTTGTATTAGAGAATTCAGGGTAAAAGATGATGAAAAGGTGGGGAAATCCTCTATGATATGACAAGCAGCATTTTAAGTCTAGGAAATTTTGTAAATTTTCTGTTGATTTACTGAAAAGTCTTTCAATTGCTTACACAGCATCTGATTGCTTGTCCACCCCAGGTTGGGCTGACCCACTTCCTAGTTTGATAAATATTTCTTGGAAGCCCAGGAAACACTGGCAAGATTAGGGAGATTCTCTCAGAGGAAGTACTTGAGACCTAATTTTAGTTATGTTCCCCTGTAAACATTTCCGATCCTACTGTTTATCTAAATCATTGGTTTTAACAATACACAGTTACTATCTTGCATATCTGTAGTTTAGAAGTCCTAAATCAGTCACCTGGGGCTAAAATCAAAGCATGCATTACTTTCTGGAGGCTCTAGGGGACAATAAGTTTTTTTCCTTTTCCAGATCCCAGGGGTGTCCCATGTTGTGGGTCCCCCACCCCCTTCCACTTTCAAAGCCAGTGGTGGCTGGTTAAGTCTTTCTCACAATTTATCACCCTGACATGGACTCTTCTGTCTTCCTCTTTCACACTTGAGGACTCTTATGATTGCATGGGGTAATCCAGGATAATCTCTTCATTTTAAGTTTAAATAAATTGCAGCCTTCAATCTATCTGCAGCTTTTATTCTTCCTTGTTATATAATACATGACAAACTTTGGGCATTAGGACTTGGACAACTTTAGGTGGGGCATGAGCCTGTCTACCACAACTACCAAGTTAAAAAACACACTAGGTAACTAGGTAATTTTTTTTTTTTAATCACAGGGCAGACATTTCCTGAACTGTAAAGCTTCTTATCTTCAGCCCCTGGTATCCAATAAACCAACTGAGAAACAAAAACCTCTATTAAGTTACTGCAGGATATGTAGATGTTAACTTAATTTGGGAGTTTTATATGAGAAGAGGAAGTATGTAGCCTTCTCATAGTATAACTGGAGGAAATGAAACTCAGAGAGATTCCTAGTTCTTCAAGTCGCAGAAAGCTAGTACAGTATCAGAACCACATATTATTTCCACTTTCTGTGACTTATTTTCTCAACACAATATTGTTATCAACACTATTTATTATGTGATTGGAACAATAAAAAATATAAAAGTCATTTGCCTTTATTTATAGTTTGGAATAGAAAGACAAAAATAGTTTACTTACATTGCATGCTTATCCTGAGCTAGGAATACAACAGGCATTACTATTTCCATTTATATATATATATATTTTCTAATCCTCCCCCAAGGATATGTTTATTGATTTTTGAGAAAGGAGGGTGAGGAGAGAGAAAGGAAAAAATAAAAAAGGAAATGTTGATATGAGAAAGAAACATTGATAGATTGCCTCAGGTATGTGCCCTGACTGACGATGGAACCCACAGCTTTTTTGTGAACAGGATGATGCTCCAACCAACAGAGCCACCCAGCCAGGGTGTTCCCATTTTATCATTTAAAGATAAGGAATATGGGGGCTCCTATTAACCACAGTTCTAGAACATGGCTGAGCCCAGGTTTGCCCAATTCCAAAGCCCATGCCCTGGCTGTAAGCATCTAGCCAGTCCACCATGGTGCTATTAACACCAGGAATGTGAAGAACCATGTTCTTAACCTCTAAGACCTGAATTAATGTAATTGAGTCCAGAAATTCACAATTGTTTTTATAATTCCCAAGGATACCTCTACCTATTTCAAGTGATGCTCTAAATTTCTAAACATGAAATGGATAGAAGTCGTGTTCTACGTTAAATGTCTTTTTAATTCACTTTATTTTTTGTGATATATACAACCTTTTAAATGAATAAAGATAATTAATATGAGAAAAGGGAGAGCTGCAGGATATAGTCAACAAGATTGTTGCTGGATTGGCTATGGGCATGAAGAAAACATGGGTTTTTGCTTGAGAACCAGGGGGTGGTGGTACCCCTTGGCTTATTATAACTGTGGGTATAAGGTCCTGAGAGGGCAGAGATGTAAAATAAGCCACTATTTATGTATTTAAGTGCAAAGTTGTCAGTGGACAATTAGAGGTTGGTTCTAGAGACATAAATTTGGGAGTGATTAATTAATTAGTGTTTTAATTTATGAGCTTGGGTGGGATTCACTGGGAAGAGTATACTTGAAGAGAGGTGGAACAAAATACTTGAATTTATAGATACAGAAGAGGATGAAGAGTTTTAAAATATCTGAGTACTAGCACTCTGTGAAAGCGGAGCAAGATCAGGAGAGGATCAAATCATGAAGCCAAGAAAAAACTTTTTTTTTTTTAGTAAAGAAGCTGTAGACATTTCAGTTGAATGTTACTGAGAATCAAACAGATTAGGAAGATGGCTGAAATTAATTAAGTTTTGCCAGTTACGTACAGTGAAGGGAGAGTAGACCCAGAATGCAGGATCATCATAATGATGGGCAATGGAATCTGAGATAGATTTACCAGATAGGATATGTGGAGATACAAGGGATGAAACATACTGAAGTTATGTGATTGATGGGTCACTAGGCTCAGTGAAACTGGACAGTTAGTAGTTAGAGTATGAATACTAATAGAGATGAGCTGTAGATGTTGGATTTAAAAAAAAAAAAGGATACTTGAAATCAAGATTTAGGAAATGGCACAGTAATTAACAATGAGGTCAAGGAATGTACGATCAATAGAAATATGGTAGAAAAAGGCATCACAGGAATGGAGAAGGCCAAGGAAGAGAGAGGACTGACAAAATACATGGTGCATTTTGATACTGAAATTACCAAGATGTCAAGAGTCGAGGCTTATCACAGAAGCCAAAGAGCCAGGTATCAGTGATTTATCCAACCGAGTATAATCTCCTCCCCTTTAAACTTCCTTTTTAATGTTGTACCTCCTTTAGTCATTCTTTTCTTATTCTTTGTTTTTTGTGAACTTGGTTTTTTCCCTCCTTCTAGATCAGGCAATGACAAGTTTTTGCTATGTTCTATAGCACAAAGCACACGTTTCCGTGAATAAGAGATTATAATAGTGATCCTAGGAAGCCTCTGTATAACTGAGGGAAGTACCATTTAATTGAGGGCTAGTCTAGTGTGGAATAGATGGGAGAATACAGACCATGATTTACTGTACATATAACACTTGAGAGAAATCACACGTCATAAGAGAAAGGTATATAGAAACAGTCAATTTATTTTAGAAGAGATTTTTCAACCCTTTGGTATAAAAATAAACAGGCACACTTCAACACTTATATTTTACATAATTTAAATACAGTCTGAGGCACAAAAAAATTCACATACACATTCTGAATTCCTAGGTTCAGACAGCAGGTTGATGTTAATAACAAATCAGCTTTTAAATCAAAGAAGGTAACAGTTTTCTGTTTGGGTTTTTTTTTGTGCAAGCCCTTCTAATGTTGACTATTTCTTTTTTAACCATTAACATTTTGAACATAAAATCTTTAAAAAAGTTCCCCTGAGTTGTTTCTTTTTAATAAAATTTCATCTCCCTCTGCCTAAGAGACATGCTTTTAATTATTTATACAAATACTAATGTTATCCATAATCAGTGCTTGATTAAAAAATATTAAAATCTACAGTGCTTTGCAAAGACTGTCTCTTCAATAAGTTATGGCTGAATGAAATAATGTAGCATCCACAGGTCCTTAAGAAATGTATAAAAGATTAGTCTTATGGCACATCCAGGCTCATGAGACACTGTGTTCTCTGTGGGCTGGTATACAGGTAAACCTTAAATATATAAATTACAACCTTACAGTTCAATGTTTCTGAAAATTCATTCACATCTTAATCTAATAATTTCTCTTATAGTTTTCAAAAGTCAAAGAGGTAATCCCAAAGAAGATAGAGTGACCTGACATAATGTGAAAAAAAAAAAAAAAATCAATGCAGGCTTCAACCCAGTTTATAATAATAATGTCCTAACATAAATAATAATCTTCAATAAATTAAATAATATACAGTACCAGAAAATGTCAGCTGACAATGAGATGTGGAAAAGAAGTATTATCTTCCTGGGACTTACTCAGGAATTGCTGTCTTTTGTTTTCAAAGAAGAAAGAACACTCATTAGAGTAGGACTATAAGTCACTTCCTGTCAAGAACTGCTTACAGTTTTCTTCTAAACCTCTTGGTAGTCTTCTTCAGTTACACAGTTAAAATTAAATATAAATAAAGTTTTCTGCCTTTTGCTTCAAACACAAGCATTTCTTTTTGTCAAGGCCTTTTTTGAGAGCTTTTGTTTTCTTTTATTCCTCATATGAGGAGCTAAATAGTAGTCCTGAGCTGAGATTTTCCTGAAAATTTGCAAACATTCATAAGAAAATACAGACAGGGTCCAAAGAAGACAAACTCAGATCTAAAAACCAGGAAATCAAAATAGAAGAAGTCAACTGATCAGAAGAGTTTCTCTTAGCAAAATGGCTAGAAGAAAATCAAAGGAACAGTGTGCAGGTAGTTGCTTCCAATGTATTGTGGAAGATACACTGTAGGTATCAAAAGTGTAGAAAGGAACTTGCAGCATTTTGCCGTCTTGTAACAGCATTTAAAAGTTAAAATGTCTGCTCTGATTCTTACTAAAACAATCTAAACTGAAATTCAAGTAAAAAAGATGTCAAACGACAACTGTTTTTCCCTTTAACTTAGAGAAAAGACATCTTTAAATCAGTGACACAAAAATCTTCACAAATATAACCCCTTTTTCCTTAACAGAAGCTGTTAAGTCACATACAGAGTTTAATATAAATATTAAATAAAAGAAATCATTCATATAAATAAATAAATATGATAATAGGCTTCTACAGTTCAGTTGAACGTCCTTTTAGTAGTACAGTAGGATTGATATCATCCAGTCTGGAGTGGGAGGGGCTGGCGTTCATGGTGACCGTTTTGGTGGGCTGCGGGTCTTGAACGTGGAACGAAGTGGAGGGGCAGCCTTTCACGTTATTGCATATGAGAGACTGAATTGAGGCAGTGTGGATGATTTTAAAACCTACTTCTCCACCAAAGGTGCTAGGCTTCCAGTAGTGAGGGGAACATATAGGATTGCCCATCAGCCCTTTCAAGGAGAAAGGCGCTCCAAGTTCTACCATGGTCTCACCAAAGATGGCGTCCGGACGGGGCTGCTCCACCAGAAGAGCGGGATACAGCTCCATGGCATCAATGTCTCCATAGAGCGCTTCCAGCTCCGCAGCCATTTCCTTCTCTCCTGTGAAGGAGACAAAGACACAGATGCAACCAATGTAAAACGTTACAAAATGCAAAAAATAGTTTTGCCCTTGTGCTCAATCTGCTTCCAACCACCCTGTTGTTCCCGTTTGGCCCTTTAAATCTTTTAGGAAGTCCAGAAACTGGGCCTTACCTGTAAGTTCTTCAAAAGATTCATAGGGCTTCATCCGAAAGCGTTTGCGGTACTCATTAAGAGGCTGGTATTTCATCTGTCTGCTGTGGTCGATGGAGGCCTTTGCTACGTATCGGACTGCAGCTGGAAGATTCCGACCTCCGGCAACCTGCAGAAAATGAATTACATTATAAAACAAAATTTTTAGGCATATTTACGATTTCTATTTTAAAAGCATTCCTTGGGCACAAAGTAGGTAAGACTGAAGCTCCCAGCTGAGACCTAAACTCTTTAAATTTGAAATATTTATTTCTGTAATCTATAAGATTATAGAAAGCTTTTGAAAATATCTATATATAGGATATGATTACATATTGCCATTTGATACCTGTAGACTAAAAGCTTTGACTTTTCAAAAAAAAGTTAAGCTTCTCATTTCAAGAAGAGAATTTTACTAGCAAAACAATCACTAGTAAGTTTAAGAAAAGTCATTCCTATGGCAGAAATTCTAGTTATGACCAGTCCTCTTTTTTTTACTTTGTTTTTCAATAATAATGCTTACCCTGCCAGCAATTTGCTTGCTGAATGATTCAACAAACTGGGTAATCCCGTGCTCCATTAATAAAGAGTTGTTGTAGAGAAACTGTTGGTAGTTGTAATCCTGGTCATCAATTTGAAAGCTGTCGGGCAGGAGGGGATGCCAGTGGTAGAGCGTGTTAAACTCAGCCGAGATGCGGTTTTGGTACTGGAACTGCTGGTTGAAAAGCAGCTCAGGGTCAAACTTCAGTTTGAAGTGATAGCCACTCAGATGCTGTACGTAGTCTTCAATCACAATCTTAATAGTTTCTCCTGTTTGCACAAAATAAAAAAATGAGAACATTAATTCCTCCTGATCACTAACTTTCAAGCAACCAAAATAAAATTCTATTGACGGGCCATTCCCTCACTTCTCCTCTTTCCTTTTGGCCATGAAGGCGAAAGATGGTTACACATAAGGATCATGCTCATGGGCTGAGTTAATAGGGAGCATGAGATTTTTGCATTCACGACACTCCCCCAGAATGACTTCAAATGCAGCAAAGGTAATGAACTAGTCTTTTCCGGGGAAAAAGGTTTTCTATAGATTATTTCCTCGTCTTCCTTACCTATCAGTATTAGCCTGCTTGTCTGGAACAACCGCTCATCGTCCCATTCCGGATGCTCCTGTTTAAGCACGTCACACACTCTGTTGTGTTCTCGCAGCCAGATCGTGGCGTACATCATCAGACCAGGCACCAGGCCAAATAGCTCCTGCCCCACAGCAAACCGCAGGTGCTCGGGGACGTGAGGCGGGTAGAGCATCTCGGCCTGAGTGTCTTTGACCGTGGGAGGGTACACCTCGCCATCAATTATCTAAAAAATAACAATAAAAAATAAACCTTAAGTTAAAGAGTTAATTAATAAATTTTAATCAGAGATTTAAAAATATAGGTAAAATGTCATAACTGATTCTTAATATGCAAATAGGACAAACCTGATACTTCATTTTTCCGTCCTTGAAAAGGCGCAGCTTATGCTGTCTCTCCAAAGTTTCACCATAAATGTGATTTAGGTCCACCTAGAAGAATACAGAAAAATTTCAAGTTTGTTGCTGCTGAAGTTGTTCTTATGTAAATGCCTATGATATAATTTATCATTCAATCATTTGATGATTTTTCTTGCTTCAATTAAAACTTTTTAATATGCTTTTTTCATAACCACAAAATATTAAAAAGATGTTTATTGAAGCTACAGACATATATGTCTTTTGTGTTTAAAGGCATTAGTATCTCCTATGTAGCTGATAAGTATATCATACACTTTGCTATTATTTTATGGTTATTTCCTTTAAAAGATATCAGACCATTTATTATTGATATAAAATTCCTATCAATAAACTGCAGCTATGGCATTGAAATCCAAAAGATAATAATGCTGCAAAAACCTCACCTTGTAATATTTAAAGCAGCATAATCAGGGTACAAATGTTTCAAATACACAACTTTTTGCAGTGCTAATATTATGAACTAAAAACATACGAGCCAAGTTACAAATGATATGTGTGTGTGTGTATTTTTACTGAACCAGTGAATCAAAATGGAAATTCCATTAAAGTTTTTATAGATAGGACATGTATTGAAAAGAGGGTGAATTATTTGGTGTGGCAAATAAATACATGGTCTTGAATGTTAGCACCTCACTACGATTTGCTGTAACTCTGATTTAGTTCTGTCTTACCCCGTGGCCCAGTCCTTTAGTGAAGGCTGGTCCGCGCTTATGATCTGTCTTGAAGAACTGATGGGTGAAGTGCTGGGCGAAGAATGCAAACATCAAATTTGTGCCCTGGGGATCCGGAATAAACTTCTGTCTTATTATAAATTTATCCACAATCATGTCTGAGTCAGGAAGCTCTTTTTTCCCTGAAAGAATAAGAAAGCTAAGAATCCACCTATATATTCAAGGCAGCAGATAATACTGTCCATTTGCCAGACCATTTCTCACTTACAGAAGAAATACAACTGTGACCAGGATTAGAGTATAAATAACACATCTAAGACATGGTGGAACTTCTTACTGAATAATTTTATCTATTGTTTAACTAGAATGAATGCAGTTTTAATGAAAGGATTTGGAAACATTAGGACATTGAACCAAAATGTCCATTCACTTTCATGAAATAATTTAAATAAACTCATGCTTTCAAAAAATCTCCATAGCTATCCATAAGAAAGGGAAAAAACTATACTTTTATTAACAAAAAAAAATGATAATATTGGGTCAAATTTTCTAAGAAGTAAGCCAACCCCCATTGCAGTATATCTCTCACTGCCTCCTGTTACTCACCTTTCACACCCATGGGGGTTGGGCAGTCATCAGCCACAGGAGGAAGAACTCTGGTATAATAGGAGAGGTTAGAAAAGGCTTCCCAGCTTTTGTAGCCATAGTGCGCGTTGTAAGTTGGTGGGCTATCGATCAAATGTGATCTGGCTGAAATTTTTTAAGAAAAAAAAATGTTTAATTAGTTCCATATGCAAGGCAAATCGATGTTCATTTTTATTGTAAAATGTGCAAAGTGGCACCAGAGATTGAATTCAATTCCAACAAAGATACTCTATTTTAAATCGGTTATACTTTAAAGTCTAAGAAGAATGATTCATTAAAATACGTCTTTAATAAAGTTTAGATACTTTACATAAGAACAGATGGTCTAGCCATTTTGATTTTTCAAATAACCATCCAAGAAGCTTAGAAAAGGTAAGCAGGATTGTAAGCAGAATTCTGACTGTGAGATAGAACTTTATTAACCAAATGGGACCATAATGTCAGTATCTTTGGCCATTAAGATAGAAGGTACACTGAAAAGGTATATTTAAAATATTTAAAGTCATTTTGACAAGGTTGGAAATACAGTTTTTGGATTTGGTTTAGAAATGCAGAGTATTATTAAAAGCCATTTTTCTTCAAGGAAACTTAAAACCTTAGAAAGAGAATGTACTTACATGTCAACACATATTTCATGATTGCATTTCTCAGGAACGGAATATTATTGACAATGTTCCAGACTCCCTTGAAGTGAGTAAGTATGTAGTGCACTGTATTTGGAGCAGGTTTCAGGAATAATTTTATTCTCGTCAGAAATTCAGCTGCAATGAGAAAACAAGGAGGGTGAAATTAATGGGGTGCATTACAAGATGCAAATCTGTGCCATGAGAACTGTGGGCATTCCCCTTTCCAAATGAGGGCACCCAAGGGCAAACTTACGTGTTGAGCAGTTTTCACCGTAGAATCCTGTTCGGGTACAGTCACACTCATACTGGTCAAATCCAACACTCATACACACACCTTGGTTTTGGCATGGGTTCGAACAGCAAGGATTTGCTACAACAAAAGTAAGGACAAGTAAATAAATTGTTCTTCAGCATCTTAATCTTGACTTAAACATTTAATTGTTTTTGCTTACTATGGGCTATCTTCACAATAGTAAATTCTACAAATACCCAGGCAGTCAAGGGAAAACACTTTTTAAAAACCTGCCGCACAGAATGGTTTTAGAACTGCAATACCAACTTCCTATTCTAAATAAGGATAACAGACTATTCAACAGGAAAATCATGTTGCTAAGTTTTTTCTTAGCAAGGTGTTCAAATTAGCATTAAGAAACTCAAATAAGTAACACTCTCAAAATTAAAATGCATAGATCTAGTACTTTAATCAAAATTTAGGGAAAACTGCAAAATAAAGAGAGTTTACTTTTAAAATACTTTGATTATCTTAAAAAAAAACAAAAACAAAAAAACACCCCAAAAAACAACCTGGGCTTTCCTGAGGCAGCAAAGCACTAAGTAGGGTATTTAAATAAAACAATTACTCCCACTCAATAACAATGGGTACCACACACAAACATTTCACGTAGATTGACCATATCTAGTCTTATCAAAATAACAACCTGAAAGTTAGTATCACTACTCCTATTTAGCGGATAAGGAAAGAAACCCAAGACCGGTTAAGTAACTGGCCCGTGATGATCAGAGCTAGTGGCAAAGCCGGGATAGCCACCCACTTCTTTTGGACTCAAGCGGCCCACGTTCTTTACAAAGTCTACAGCCTCCCTACTGCGAAAGTATTCAGAGTGACGAGGTCTCCAGGAGATGAGAGCAGAGGAGATGAGAGCAGAGGCGTCTCGGGGCGCGCGCAGCGCGCAGCGCGGGTACCCACCTGCCGCGCAGAGCGCCAGGGCGGCGCAGAGCAGCAGGACGCGGGCGAGCATCTCGGCGGCGGCGGCGGGCGGAGGTGGTGCGGCGCGGGGGCTCGGGCAGTGGATGAGACTGGAGGAGGCGCCGGGCGGAATTCCTGGGCGTCTTGCGGACGCTCGCTCAAGTCCTTTGACAGCTGGGAGCTAACGGAGAGAACCTCCTTTTAAGCCTTGAAAACTGGCCCACGTCACTCTGACTAGTTCTGTCGGCCTCTTCTCATTCGCCCGCCACTCCCCTCCCCCCCCGCCCCCCGGCCCTCACTTAATTGCGTAAGCCAGGTTTGGGGCAAAATGACTTAACTCACAAATGACAAAAATCGGAAACCGGGGAAACTACTCACGGCTCCCCCAAGGTGGGGGTAAAGCGGATTGCTAGCCACCCCCACCCCACCCCCCAACTCCGCTCCGATCTCCTCCCCTTTCCTCCACCCCTTACCAGTTCTCGTGCCCTGAGAGCTCGGGTGTGCGCACAGATTTTTAAAATTTTTTACTCGAGATTTTAAGTGGCGGGACACCGGTTTGTTTTTGGAAGGAGTGAGTGCCTAGAGGCTCCAGAGCGCACGTAGGGAATTCCCTTCGGGCCGCTTTGGCTGTCGCGATCTTAGCAGATGGGAAAGGCAAAGCCAAGAGGCGTGGGGCGGGGAGGCCTGCATATTTTTCACGTGTCGTGTATTTCGAACATGTCAGGTTTGTATATGCAGCACATACATACCAATGTTAAATTTTTATTTTGCTAAATGAAATACAATAGCTACAGTGAGTGCACACATCTGCAACTTCTCTTTTGAGCTCTGCTGTGTTTACCCTAAGAAACACTGCTCTCCAGAGCACCCGCCCCTCCTTGCTTCCTGAAGAGGAAGGAGGTAAATTACTCCCGAGCAGTAACCCTGTCAATGGTCAGTTGGAGCCTGAGTCGCCCTCGCCTTAACATCTCTTCTCGGAGGGCCCGGGTCTGCGGGAATGCTGAATGTGCAAAACGTCTGCTTTAATTCATTTATTTCTTTGCCGCGTGGTTTCCACCTTTTTTGGTCACCAGCCTTTCACAGGAGCTACAAATAAGAGGAAGATTTTTAAAGGGTTTTTTTTTCTTCTTCTTCTCTGCCCATTTTTCCAAGATGAGACGCAGCAATGGGTCAAAGTACAACATGGCATTTAGGGTTAATTTTCTGTACTTCTTTTGGAACATAGTTTGATGAGGAATTGGATGGAATGGATGTAAAGGAAGGGTGGCTTTCTAACAATTTTGAATTTTCTCATCCGTTGTTTTTGTTTAGTATCTATCTTTTGGTAGTGGTGGGGAGAGGTGTGTGAAGGTGAAATACAAAACAAAAAAAAAATAGCAGCAGCAAAGTGGAAAATAAAAAGTTCAATGAAGCTACATATTCTTAGCATTAATGGAAAAGAATGGCATAAAATCTAAAATAAAACTACATCAGATGCCACAATTTGTAGAAGTCTTAAGGAAAAAAAGAGACTCACTTGGAATTATGTCTTTTAACATCTGTTTAATGTATACATTCCACAACGAGACACAAATGATTACAATTGCATTTCATCCATGAAGCCATTCTCCTTCCTCCTCTAGTCATATCTAACCATTCCACTTGTGACACTCCCATTTCTTGTACTATGTCTTACATGAAATTTCAACTAACAGCACAGTTTTAAAACAATCCCTTTCAATTCCAATTTGCTCTTTCATTTTAAGTGAGTAGGTTGTATCTACTCAAATTTTCGATTGATTTTTAGGGCTAGCAATTCAAGTTTGGTTAGATACCATGTAAGAATCCACACTCTGACTCTGATAGTGTGTTAAAATGTTACATTGTGGTCCTAATTCATTTTGAAGTTGCATCGTTGCTGTCTTCCTCATCAGATCTTAATTGTATACCTACTATGTCCAGAAGTGTGGTCTGTTCTTTGCAAGACTGAATTCTAAGGTCAAGACAAAGCAAAGCATAGAGAATATTCACATTTAGACTCCTTGGAACTTAAAGAAATTGAAATCTGTCTCAGAGTGGAAATTCAATAGAAACATCTATTTGGTGAAACTACTTGGTTTAATCTGTAACTCCTATAGCCTGGGAGGGTGGAGGGAGCTCTAGGTACCTATGCAGGGAGGAAAGAGTTCAAGGAAAAATGACGCTGTAAGGATGGACACAGTTTAGAAAGGAAGTCCAAGAATGGACATGACGAAGAATTGTTATGATGAGATTTATTTTGAAAATTTTGACAAGTCTGAATGAGTAGTACATTTGGGGATGCTGGCCATGGGAGAATGTTAAACCTTCCAAACCACATCAAAATGGCTAAACCTGTTTTATTTGGAGAATATGGTTATTGTGCCATGATATATCATACCATAGAAAACAAGGTTTGATTATATAAAAATTATAGCTCTCACTTTTGTATGTATTTAGTGTTTCTGTGTATACTTTGGATAAATAGATGTATTTGTTGTACTTTGTATGTTAGTCTCTGAAATTTGTTGGGAAATTGTCTATTTGAAGAAAAAAGTCTCCAAGTATTCTGTTGCATTTTACTGCCCCCTTCTGCCACTTGAATTTTTATCAACCTCTTTTTCTCTATGACGCTGTGAAGATTGCTAGGTAGATTTTTTTTTATGTCTGATGTCATCATGTTCTTAAAAGTCTCCATGTACAGTATTCAGTTTAGGTTTAACTTAGATGAATATACTGAAAAGGAATAAAATATTTATTAATGGAAGCGACAAGCCACTCATATGAGTTAAAAGAAAATGAACCGTAAAGTCTCTTAATACCCCAAATTCCAAACGAGCTCCCATTTTGAGGAGCGCCATATCTTACGGCTCGGAGCAGGGTTGCACCACTCGGACGTGGACGGATGCTTACCTCCCTCACCTCAGGCACGCAGGCTCTTTCCATCTCCTCCCCTTCTAGTCTGGTGGGTCTAGTGACTCCCGCAGAGGCAGTGGAGGTTGCCAAGAACTGTTTTCATTCACGGCATACTGGCTAGTGAAAGAGCTTTGCTATCTTCCATCAGCGTTATTCTTAAAAGGTATTTTACAAAGGTTATGCCACAGAGTAAGTCTGTTCCTTGAAGGGCAAAAATGCTACTTACAAAAGACTTCTTTAGTCCTGTAGGAAATACTGGGTATGTATCCAGCCCTGACTACACTAGACAGGAATTTTAAGGCTGTAAACAAAAGCATAAATTTTTTTTTTTATTAACAAAATATTCTTGTCACATCAGGCAAGGGAGAAACACCAAATAGTATTCATTTTTAAATTTTACAAAACATTGATCATCTTTCTCAAATAACTGAACCCCCTGATACATAGACTTTTTCCCCTTCATTTTCCATGGTCGCGTACTGTAGCTACTCAGATGAGCCAAGGTCGATTGAACACAGTCCTCGTGGGGGAGCTGGGAGTCCGGAGGGGAGACGCAGGTGCAGGGGAGCGTGAGCAGAGGAACCGGGTGGCGGACGGACGTGGTGAGGACACACTAACCAATTCCACATCGGGGCCAGGACTTTCCGCTTCTGACCCGGCACCCAAAGAGCTTGCAAGTTGCCCCCTCACCCCAACAACAAATAATAATCGTAATAAACTGAACACTCGACACTCCTCTTAGGTCCTTCAGGGAAGTGAGGTGACGGGATGAGACACTGCCCGCAGAAGCGGAGAGAGAGGCATCCAGAGGAGCACGACTCCGCCACCCCCTGCAAGGGACCGACTGCGGGCTGCGCGCGGGCTGGGAGGTAAGAACTCCGGGCCATGCGGTGGGGGAAGTCCTTTCAGGACTTTTACTTTCCGAAGGTCGATCAGGTTGTCCCAGTCAAGAGCAGGAGAAACAATAACGCCTTTGGATGATGGACAGGGGGAAGGAAACATTTTGAAATATGCCAGAGCATTCTGTTCTGTTTAATAAGACCCGCACTCAAGAGAAACTTGGACCAGAGCCGAACTATTGGGATTTTACCGGAGTTTAGTTATCTTGGGGGAAGGGAAATACCCAATTTCAGTGCCTTTGAAAACCTCCACATGTGAGCAGGGAAGCACCCAAATACCTCGCCACCTGTCCCACAGGAGGCGTGGGAGTCGGGGACTGAGAGGCACTGGTGACATTCACCATTGAGGGGCACAGGCTCACTAAAAGACGCAGTCCTAACTGCAGCAGTGTGGGACACTTCCCCGCCCCACTGCCACCTCACCGCATATCACCAAGGGCCTGTGTGCCCGAGTTCCTCTGATAAAATATAAAGAGAAAACATTGAAAGAAGCTAGAGGAAAAAATATCTTACTATAGAGGAACAAAGGTAAGAATTATATCCTGCTGCGTCTCAGCAACCATGCAAGCAAGATGAGAAAAGAATAAAATACTTAAAATGTTAAAACAAACGGAAAATATCACCAATCCAGAATTTTGTGCCCTGGGAAATTATCCTTGAAAAGTGAAGGAGAAAAAATTTGTCAGACGGACAAAAATTGAGGGAATTTGTGGCCAGTAGATCTTTCTTGCAAGAAAGGTTAAAAGACGTTGTTCGAGAGAAGGGAAATGATATGTCAGAAACTCAGATCTACATATATAAAGGAAGAGCATTAGAGAAGGAATAAGTGAAAGTAAAAAAAAAAAAAGACTTATTTTTCTTATTCTTAATTGATCTGACACTTAACAGTTTGTTCAAACTAATAATAAAGTGTGGACTTCAGATGATAACAATGTGTCCATATAAGGTTATCAGTTGTAACAAACGTGCCTCTGTGGTGAAGACGTTGATGGCAGGGGAGACTGGGAGGTTGGTTAGGAGGTATATGGGAATGCTCTGTACTTTCTGTTCCATTTTGCTGTGACCTTAAACTTCTCTCAAAAAATAAAAGTTTATTAATTGAAAAAAGAACCTGGGCTTCTAAAGAAGGATGTTTGATTTTAGCTGTTTTCTTTTCCACTTGTTCACATGTTAATGCTAACCCCTCACAGATGTTTCACTTTATTCTTAGTGATGTCAGAAAACAACGTGCAACCACGGGAGCCACAGGCTGTTATGCTGAAGGCAATGCATATTTGCTTGCCTAGTAATCATCATCATTGGTTAAAAAAA